GACTCCGCCTCCCTATCCCGTCCCATCGGATGCCCGGGTTACCCTGTGGTGTCCCCGAGAAGCCGGGTCAACCGAGGCACCCCATTAAGACCCCTTAGCTCTCGGGGCAGTGGTCGCCAATTTGGGGGGGGGGGGTCCTGCCCTGGTTCCCTCCTGCCCCAAGCCCCTCAGGCGCCCCCTTGGCCGTGCCCCAGACGGAGGTGGGGGGTCCTGAGGTTGTGCTTGTGTTCTCCTTGCAGATGCAGAGCGTGATGTACGACCTGATCACGGAGCTGAACGACCGGAGCGAGGACCTGGAGAAGCAGATTGGGGGGCTGGAGGCCAAGATGGAGCACTTGGGGGCCAGCCTGGCCTCCCTGCCCCTCGTCGTCGCCGACGCCTTGCGCCTCCAGCAGCAGCAGCTCCTGGCCGCCATCCTGGACGGACTCCAGCGGGGGACCCTTGGGGCCGGGGGTACGACCTGATCACGGAGCTGAACGACCGGAGCGAGGACCTGGAGAAGCAGATTGGGGGGCTGGAGGCCAAGATGGAGCACTTGGGGGCCAGCCTGGCCTCCCTGCCCCTCGTCGTCGCCGACGCCTTGCGCCTCCAGCAGCAGCAGCTCCTGGCCGCCATCCTGGACGGACTCCAGCGGGGGACCCTTGGGGCCGGGGGCACCGGGACTGGGACCGGGCCCTTGGCCCCTACCCCCGCCGGCCCCCCGGCGCCCCCCTCGCTCTCGGACAGCCCCCTGGGACTCAGCTCCGCCTCCTTCCCCACGCCCTACACCAGCTCCAGCAGCTGCTGAAACAGGACCACACGGACCGCAAGCACCCCACGTGGGGTGGGAGGGGGGTCGTTCGGACCACAACCCCAAGCGAGGTGGAGGGGGGTCCTTTGAGCCCCTCAAACGCCTCCGCCCGACCTGGACCCAGACCCGGACCCTCTCGGCCGCCGGATCGGTGCCTCAAGGAGAGAGGGGGAGGGGCGGAAGGGGGTCGCCCTCGACTCGTCGTGCCCCCCCCCCCGGCCTGCGCCCGTCCAGCCGACGGTTGGGAATCTACGTTCAATCTCAGGTCTTCACACGGAGAAACAAAGCCAACCCTGGCGTGGCCGAGCGAGCGGCCGGCGATGGGCGGGGAGGGAGGGAGGTCGCGGTGGGAGGTCGCGGTGGGACCGGGACACTGTGTGCACCCCGGAGCCAGCCACCGGCAATGGGGACCCTTTCCCACCCTCCCCTTTTTACGGATCCTGGGACAACATCCCTCCCTCCTTCCTTCCTTCCTTCCTTCCTTCCTTCCTTCCTTCCTTCCTTCTTTCCTTCCCCCTTTCTTTCTTATGTTTTGGGACACTCGTTTTTCCTTTTCCTTCTTTCCTTCCTTCCCTTCTTTTTATGCTACATGGGACAGTCTTCAGTTCTTTCCTTCTTTCCTTCCTTCCATCCATCCATCCATTCTATCTTTCTTTCTTCTTACTGTTTTGAGACACTCCTTTTTTTCCTTCCTTCCTTCCTTCCTTCCTTCCTTCTTTCCTTCCTAATATTTTGGAACACTCATTTTTCCTTTTCCTTCTTTCCTTCCTTTCTTTTTATGGTACCTGGGACAGTCTTCAGTTCGTTCCGTCTTTCCTTCCTTCCTTCCATCCATCAACCCAATCAATCTATTCTTCTTAGTGGGGCCCTCTTCCCTTCCACTCAGCCATTCTATCTTTCTGTGTACTGTTTTGAGACACTCCTTTTTTCCCTTCTTTCCTTCCTTCCTTCCTTCCTTCCTTCCTTCCTTCCTTCCTTCCTTCCTTCCTTTTCCTTCCTTCCTTCCTTCCTTCCTTCCTTCCTTTGGTACCTGGAACACTCTTCCCTTCCTTCTTTCCTTCCTTCCATCCACCTACCCATCCAGCCTCACGACCCCTCCAAAATGGCCAAATGACCCCCTTGGGGGTTGCGACCCCCAGGTTGAGAACCGCTGTTCTAATTGAACACTTATTTTTCCTCCTTCCTTCCTTCCTTCCTTCTTTTCTTCCTTCCTTCCTTCCTTCCTTCCTTCTTTTTTACGGTACCTGGGACACTCCTCCCTCCCTGCCTTTCTTCTTTCCTTCCCCCCACCCACCCACCCACCCATCTATTCATCTATTCTTCTGATTGTTTTGGCACACTCTTCCCTTCCTTCCTTCCTTCCTTCCTTCCTTCCTTTTGAATGTTCTGGGGCACTCGTTTTTCCTTCTCCTTCTTTCCATCCTTCCTTTCTTTTCATTGTTCCTGGGACACTCATCCCTTTCACTCAGCCATTCTTTCTTTCTTCTGTCTGTTATGAGACACTCTTTTTTTCTCCCTCCCTCCCTCCTTCCGCCCTCCCTCCTTCCCTCTTTCTTTCTTTCTTTCTTTCTTTCTTTCTTATGTTTTGGGGCACTCGTTTTTCCTTTTTCTTCCTTCCTTTCCTTCCACCCACGCACACATCCACCCATCCATTCTTCTATTTTTCTATTTTGGGACACTTATCTTTTCTTTCTTTCCATCCTTCCTTCCTTTTCATTGTTCCTGGGACACTCATCCCTTCCACTCAGCCATTCTTTCTTTCCATTGTTCTGGGACACTAATTTATCCTTCCTTCCTTCCTTCCTTCCTTTCCATGGCTCCTGGGCCACCCTTCCTTTCCACTCAGCTATTCTTTCTTTCTTCTTACTGTTTTGGGACACTCTTTTTGCCCTCCTTTCCTTTTCTTTTGAATGTTCTGGGACACTCAATTTTCCTTCCTTCCTTCCTTCCTTCCATTTCATCCCTGCCTGGTGACAGTCCAAGCGGAAGGAGGTTCCCAATGGGAGGGGGTCCCTTTTCCCTTCCTCGGGTCAAGGCTCGGGACCCCTTGTCCGATGCTCCTTCCCATGATCCCTGGGCTCCGAGAGCCGGCTGCCGGCTTTTCCATGGGGCTTGGCCCCTTCCTTCTCCGAGGTTTCCCATGCCACAGGGTCCACCTCTGAGGGGTTTTCCACCTGGAAGGCCTCCAGCATTCCTTCCTTGGAGGGTTCCGGAGGGTCATTCCTACGCCGGAGGGTCACGAGCTTTGCTGGGAGAGGAGGTCGGGGCAACGCCTTTGCTTCTCTCTTTCGTCCAGTCCACGTCTCTCTTGGATGTTGGCGTGTCCACCCTTTTGGGCATCAAGAGTTTGCAGAGGTGTTCCATCCTGTGGAGCCCCTTCTCTGAGGTTTCCGAGTGGGGAGCGTGACCCCTTTGGAGGCCTACACAAAGCTTGGGAGGGAAAGCCATCTCCGACCTCCTTGGGGAGCCAAAGCAAAGAGGGCCTTGCAAGGAGACGGGAAGAGCCAGAGAAACCAAACGTTCCTCCTTTTTGGCATCGGAATGAGCTGCAACCAATGGATCCCCATTTGCAGTCCTTTGCTGAAGCTAGAAGGTCGTCAACATATCGGAGTGTGGCTCTGCACCGCGATTCTTTCTCTTGGTCTTGCTTCGTTTTGCTGTCCTTCCCTTTGGATCCCCGAGGGCGCCTTCGGCCTCCGTCTCTTGCCTCCCACTCGCAGGGAATTGTCGGCCGGTCAGAGGAAGGCGCCCTGGGGGAAAAGAGCCGGCTCTAATGAGCGCCTCGGTAATTAAATGGGCCGGAGATGGATTGATGTTTGCGTGGCCGACGACAAAGGGCCCCAGGGATGCCGCCCTTCGGCACACGGAGAGAAAAGAGACGTTGCAGGAGGAACATGAGTTTCCAGAAGCAGATTGTTCCGCTGTTTTAAGTGGCCTTTTTTGCACAAGGAATATTGATGGAGCCCAGCAGAGACCCCAAAGGAAACAGAAGGCGTGCTTTCGGTGTCAATGGAATGACGATGGATGCTGGGAGATGTAGTCCCAGCCAAATCTGGATTTGGACATTGTTGTCCCTTCTTATCTCTTTGTTTTGGAGGAAAATGCAAGAGATGAAATGTCCCGGTCCGGTCCTCGGTTGCCCTTTGGGAGTTCGCTTTGGACCCCGAAACAAATTCATATTTTGGGGCAAGCCACCCCTTGTTTTGAACCACTTTCTCCACCTCTGTTTCCACACATTGCTCGTTTGGGGGCAAAACGCAGGAGATTCAGCATCCCAATCCAGCCCCTGGCCGCCCTTTTGTTTTGGGCCGTGACACAAATCCAAATTTTGTGGCAAGGCAGCCCTTGTTTTGTGTTTCCTTCTTGCGCTGGCGCCTGCTCAGGCCTCTCTTGGCACGCAACCCGGGCCCGGCGCCGCGCAGGTGCCACTTTGCGCCTCTTCCGAAGGAGGAAAGCGAGCGTGTAATTGCCGGGCGAGATTAATTACGTGCCGCCCCGCCGTGCCAGCAAAAGAGGCGTTCTGGAGCCAAAGCCGCGCAACCCATCGTTGTCGCCGCAGGATGGAAGCGCGTTGGCGGAGGAAGGCTTTTTCTTTCGTTTGCTGGTTCGTTGCTTCGTTCTTTCTTCCTTTGTGTGCTTTCAGGAGGGAGCGTTCTGCGTTCCGCCTCCCGGGAGCAGCACAAAAGGAGACCTGCCATGGGTTTGGCTCCTCGCTGCCGCATTGTGCGCGCCCTCGGCTCGCAGTTGCTTAGGAAACCCGCTTTGGGGAAGGATCCTCCTCGACGCCCACCGCTTCCCTGGCTTTGCCGTTCAATGCCGCTCTTTGGACCCTCTTGGGGTTGGCCCCAACCCCAAGAATTGCAAGTCAACTGGGATTTCACTGTCCAGAAGGGAACGGAGGCTCGGCTGCCATTTCCAGGGGTGCAGGATCTGTCCCTTGCATCATAGCAGATGGGTTGTCCCATTGGCTCAATGAAGTGGCACATCTCGACAACAACACAGAACGATGGAGTTGGAAAGGAACCCCAAAGACAATCCAGGCAGGAAGACACCACCCAAGCCCTCCCAACAGATGGCCATCCAGCTTCTGCTTAAAGGCAACAGAAGGAGACTCCGCTGAGTGCCGAGTCCTAGAGTCGAAAGGAACCCCAAAGGCAATCCAGGCAGGAAGACACTACCCAAGCCCTCCCAACAGATGGCCATCCAGCTTCTGCTTAAGGTCAACAGAAGGAGACCTTAATGGGCACCAAGTCCTACAAGTCCCACAAAGGCCATCCAGTCCCACCCGTTCGTTTTACCAGGCAGGAAGACACCACCCAAGCCCTCCCAACAGATGACCATTCAGTTTCTGCTTAAAGACAATAGAAGGAGGCTCTGCTGGGCGCTGAGTCCTAGAGTTGAAAGGAACCCCAAAGGCCATCCGGTCCAACCCTCTTCTTTCTTTCTACCAGGCAGGAAGACACCACCCAAGCCCACCCAACAGATGGCCATCCAGCTTCTGCTTAAAGACAACAGAAGGAGGCTCTGCTGGGTGCTGAGTCCTAGAGTCGAAAGGGGCTCCAAAGGCTATCCAGTCTCACCCCGCTCTGCAGGAAGACGCAATGAATGACGCAACGAATCAATCACAGAATCCTCGAGTTGGAAGAGACCCCAAAGAGGGACATCCAGTCCAACCCCATTCTGCCAGCGCAAGAAGACACCATCCGATCCCTCCCGACAGACGACCATCCTGACTCTGCTTCATAACCTCCCCAGAAGAGGGGAGACTCTGCCAAACTCTCGTTTTTTGAGGGAATGAATGTGAAAGGGGCCCCAAAGGCCATCTAGTCCAACCCGCCTTCTGCCAGGCAGGAAAACACAGCACAAGCCTTCCCGACCAAAAGAGAAGGAGATGCCACCAGGCTCCAAGGCTGCGGCATTTTCCACGGCCAAACCGCTCTCACCATCAGGAGAGTGGCTTGGCCATCGTTGAGGAGAAGGGCATCCCTTCTCCTCAATGGGACATCCTTCCAGGTCTCTGTCTTTCAGCAAAGTTCTGGAGGATCCCGCTGGACCGCCGACGCTGCTGCCGATCCCGGCTGAGCCCCCAAGCATTTTGCCTCCCAAGGCCGATCCTAGGGACGACGGGCTCTCGGGCAGACCTTTCCCAAACAAGCCATTGCCTTTTGCCAAATAGAGGGGAAACAGGACCAGTGGGCCCAAGGTGGAGGAAAAGCACAAAAGTGGGTCTCCCTCCAAGGCTGGGAAGCAAACCCTTCTCCTCCTCCTCCTTCTTCCTCCCAGTTCTACCTCGGTTTCCCACGGCTCTGCCACTGCCTTGCCACAAAGCCTCTGACACTGTTGCATTAATGCGGACTGGCACCACTTCAAACCTCCACGGCTCGGGACTGCCCTGCTTCCCCAAAAACGAGCCCCAGTTTAGCAAGAGTTTTCGGGGTGCTCGAAATCTAAGCCCCACTTTAAAATAGGAAAAACGAAGACATCCCCTGAAAATAAGCCCTAAACCAGTGGTTCTCAACCTTTCTAACACCGGGACCCTAAATACGGTTCCTCATGTTGTGGTGACCCCCAAATATGTTGTGGTGACCCCCAACCTCGCCTGTCTAGTGCTCACGGATGGCGAGAGCACGAGGCAGGCTTTGTGCGAGGCCAGGCCTCATGCAGAGGACCCCTCGCCTGCCCCATGCCCTTGCTGGATGACTAGATTGCGAGGCAGGCGAGGTGGGCTTTGCATGAGGCCAGGCCACACACGAAGGACCCCTCGCCTGGCCCACGCCCTTGGGGCGGGGCCAATGGAGGTGGTCTCACGACCCCTCCGAAATGGCCAGGCGACCCCCCTGGGGGCCGCGACCCCCATGTTGAGAACCACTGCCCTAAAACATCTTTTCAAGCCGGACTCAGCTTTCTAGTGCAATCTAAGATAAGGCAAGGCTTCCCTGAAGCAAGGTGGCTTCTTGCTTCCTCAACTTCTGTGGGAACCCAACTGCCGCTTGAGTTCAACCACTGGCTGAAATA